ACAGTCTCACAGATTTCCTGGTCTAGTGGCTCTTGCACCACCTCTTTCCTGAGCCTTTATCATGCAGGAGTTGTATTGTAGATGTATCCACTGAGTCTGGCCACCTTAAAATCATTTGATCTCTGCATTTTGACCAGTTGTGGTTTTCTGTAATGATTTCCATCTGCTGCAAAGAGTTTCTTGGTGTGTGTGTGTGTGTGTGTGTGTGTGTGTGTGTGTGTGTGTAATTTATATTTTGTCAGGAGCCATCATAGGAGAAGCTAAAAACTAGCAGGAATCTTTCCTAAAATGAATTCTTCCTGGACCTTGCTTATCAGAGCAAATCTGTGGCAGACCCATCTCAGGAAGGTCAACTGTATTAGGTTCTATGTGGCTCCTTACGTCTTCTCCTATGATGGCTCCTGACAGTATTTATTTTATATACATAAAATAAATATATACATGTATGTGTGGATGGATGGATGGATGGATGGATGGATGGATGGATGGATGGATAGATGGGTGGATGGACAGATGGATGGATGGATGGATGGATGGATGGATGGATGGCTTTGCTTCCATGTGTGTCAAATCCCCAAGTGGTACTGGAGTAGCAGTTGAATTGTGTTAGATGCTGAGAACTGAACCTGATTCCTCTAGAAGAGTAGCCAGTACTCTCAGCCATCTCACCATTTCCTAAAGAAGCTTCTTTGTTGAAGACTGAATTACAGTTATCTGTGGCTGTAAGGTTAAGTTTTAGAATATGGTTAGGAACTGTGCTTTCCCAGTACAGTGGTGAGTTGGATCTCCTCTAAGATCCAGGGCCACAGTTGGTTGACTAGGTTCACATATCAAGCATGACTTCTCTCTTGTAGAAGGGGCAGTTAAACAGCTACTGGCTAACAAGATATGAGTGCTACTAACTACTGCACCTTTGGAGATACCTTGCCATGCTAGTCATTGTGGTCTGCTACTGTTTGGTATTATGATGTTAGATCTAGAGGAGGAACTTTCAGGTCAAACCCTACTTGAATGTTCTGAGGTCTGGGTCCTAAATGTGTGGAGTCTTAAGCATCAGGGGCTTACCTTAAACCTCTGAGAGGCAACCAAGGGTCCCATTAATAGCCTCTATTGTTATAAGAGTCTTTTGTCTTCCCCTAACTACTGAAAAGGAGGTTTCTCATGTTATTTCAGTCTATGGCTCTCATGGGAAACATTGTCATCCAAAGTGGCATAACATCATTTAAGCTATATTTATAATATATACACATGTACTATATGTCATCTTAGGTAAATATAAAACAAAAATTCTAGAAGGTGTTTTGCAAACATCATTCAATTTAGGTTCCCTCTTCCAAGGTGGCTCTAAGTTTTGTAAATTTGACAGCAAAAGCTAACCTACACCTTCTCGGAGGTATCAACCCCCAGGCACCTAAGGACTTTACCCAAAGTCCTGAACTCTTAAAGGTCCAGTCTTCCAATACTGGCAATCTTAGCTTCAGGGACCTATAAATGGGTAATTTGGCAAAGATTTCAGAGATGTGTATCCTAGTGCATCTGAAGTTTTAAGTTTTTGTAGATGACTGTTTGACAGTCCCATTATGCAGCCTTGGAACTATGTAGACCATGCTTTCTCCAGACTTTGCTTTCAAAAGGCTGGTATTGCAGGAGTACACTACCATGCCCAGTATATTGTTGAAGGTTTAAACAAAACAAGCCTTCATATTGTTGGCCTAATGCTATCAGCTGCATGTGTAGCGGAAGAGGAAGCTTGGAGTGTGCTGGTAACTAAATGAAGCACCTCCTGCCGGCTAGGTGAGCGCTCTTCCACAGAGTTACATCTGAATCATGAGCCATGATAAAAACAGTAACTTCATAAAAGCCAAGTTCACTATTTCTTTGTTTTCAGCTCCCCTGAAGAAATCTTCACATGTGCGCAAGTAACTCGTCAAAAGGCAGAGGAAATCTATAAATATATTCATTATATATTTGACATGCAAATGCTACCAAATGATCTTAACCAGGAAAGACAGAAATCTGATACATGATCAACACTCGGAGTCGCTATGAAAGAACTTTCATGATCCTAGTATACTTCAATAACCATTGTGTGTTGTGACTGCCAGTTTAAAATATGTAAATATTTCATCTCTTAATGATCTTTATATTGTATATACCTTTTTATTTATAGACTATATAATTTATTTTTAAAAGGAAATCTTTGATGTTCCATAATCATTTTGATTAGACTGTGAAACAAATTTTTATTGAATAAATCAAGACTGTGTGAAATGTAGTTCAGAGTGGTTTAAGCATCTAAGAAAGTAAGCCAGAGGGCTGGGAGATGTTCAGCTGCCTAAATGTTTCCTGCACAAGCCTGACAGCCGGAGTTCATCCCTGTGCTGGCTGGTCTTAACGTCAACTTAAGCTATCTGAAAGGAGGGACCCTCAACTGAGAAAAGATCTACTTACTATAAGTAGTTATTGACGGGAGCGGACCCAGCCCATTGGTAGTGGTGCTATCCCTGGGCTGGTGGCCCTGGGTGCTATAAAAAAGCAAGGTGAGCAAGTCCATGGCCTCTGCATCAGCTCCTGCCTCCAGGTGCCAGCCCAGCTTGGATTCCTGCCCTTAGCTCCTCCAGTGAAGAGACTGTGATCTGGAACTATGACCCTTTCTTCTGTAGTTTGATTCTTGGTTATAGTGTTTCATCTTCATCGTACTAATAGAAACCGAAAGACAATTCCCAATACCCATGGAAAAGCCAAATACGGTGATAGGATCAAAGTGCCGGGGACTTCAGAGAATGAAGGGAGGATATTAGGAGTTTGCTAGCCAGTATGGCAAAGTTGGTGAGTTCAGTGGGAAGCTTTGTCTCAAAAAAAAAAAACAGATGAGTGATAGATGAAAATAGACCATGTCAATTTTCTAGCCACCACATAAGTAATGCTTGGCCGTGTGCTCACATCTGCACGCAAACACAGAAAAGATGAGTATGCTGACTTTGATGACGTACTCCTGGAATACCAGCACACTATAGGCCAGCGCAGTAGGCACATGATTTTGAAGCTAGCCTTGGCTACAAACAAGATCCTGTCTCAAAAAAGCATAAAAGCAATAGTATTTTAGAATTCTTCCAGTAAGTACTATGATCTATGATTGGCAAAAACTTTATAATAAATTTGTGGTCTATGTGAATTATACTATGTAACACTGTAAGTGTACTAAGTCCAGGGGACCTGAAGAGACGGCACAGAGGTTAGAAGCACACACTGCTCTTGTATGCCCAACAAACCCATCAGGTAGCTTAATCAATGTATCCAGTGTCTCTGGCTCTTAGGCAGTGCACTGACATTACACAGACACACATACAAACATTAAAATGTTAGTCAGATAGAAGTCTAACTAATATATGCCGAGTAAAATACGGAGGTGAAACAAATGATCTAATCATTAAGGTCAAAAGTATAAGTAAATATATCATTACCACCAAATAAAGCTTCCATCCTAGTATAGCCCAATACTTAACATCAGCTTTCGTTTTGATTCCTCTTATGCCGTAAGTATTTTAAGATGTGGCTGTTTATATGTGCAGTGTGACTTCCTTCCGACAGCTCTCCCCGCCTCCATACTTTCTCCAGTCCCAGGAGATGTCCCTCATCCTACATCTGACAGTAACTTCAGAACTCATCTATTTCAATGTCTGCTGTTCATAATTGTGTTGATCATAAAAATAAGAACTCCAAACTAGCTTGTTCATTTACACTGGTAAATTTAGAAACACTACCCAGAAACAAACTTTTTTTTTTTTATAAAAGGTACTCCATTCTGAATTTTGATCATCTGATAATTTTAAAACCTGACCTCCTGCATGCCACTAATCTCTTAATCTTCTGCTCAAAATTGTGTTATAACCAGAGAAAAAAGTATTCAGACATATTGGCTGGCGTGCTATTAGTAATTACTTTTCAGATCTAAATTCACATATTAAATATCTATTCAGTTTAAAAACAAACATTGCTAGCTGTAAAGGACATTGAATGGCTTTCTTCTAAAATGTTACCTATCACCTCAACCAGCACAGCATCGGGTTGCATATTGACAACTCAAGTTCCATTTTGTTTAGGGTGACTCTAAAACAACCTTTCTTTTGTTCTCCAGCTGGTAATAACTGCAGGTTCTTTGGGAGAGAGGTATTACTGGAGATTCAACCTGGTACTTTCTACATGGCAGACAAGTGTTTTAACAGCTATCTCCAGCCTTCTTCCTCCACTTCCACTTCATGGTATATGATATATACCAGAAATCTGCCTGCCTCTGCCTCTCAAGTGCTGGGATTAAAGGCATGCGCCACCACCGCCCAGCATATTTTTATACTTTAAAAACATTTATTCCTGTTTTTCTTTGTGTGTGTGTGTGTGTGTGTGTGTGTGTGTGTGTGTGTGTACACATTAAGTCCACTACCTGTGACAGCAAGAAGAGTACTCAATCTCCTGTAGCTGGAATTACAGGTAATTGTGTATTACTAAACATAGGTACTGGGCATCAAATTCATGACTTCTTAACTGCTGAGCCATCTCTCCACTCCCTTAATTTTGTTTTTGAGACGGGGTCTTAGTAAATTGCCCAGGTTGGTCTAAACTTGAAGTTCCTCCTGCCTCAATTTCCTGAGTAGCTGGTATTAATTACATGACTGAAACACCAAGCCTAGGCTTAATTAAAAAGCCTGTTCTATATAGTGAAGTAAGTCCAGGGCAGCCCAGCTACACAGTAAGACCCTGACTTAGGTAGAAGAGAGATAGAAACAGAGTTTCTGTCAAATAGGAATGAATAATTTATTTTTTAGTATATGTTCCAGTGTGTTTTTAGGAAATAAATTAGGAAGCAGTAACAAGATGTATTATTTTCAAATAAACAAAACAACAACAAATCCAGAAACAAAATACTTGACAAATTTACATTTTTATTTGAGCAGTCTAACTGGATGCAAAGGGTAGATGAATACATACTATAGCCAGCGGACAAATAACTTATGTCAAGCTTTAAAACAATGACGGAATGAAAGTTACCTTTAAAAGCTGTCGAAAGGGAAAACCTGTTTATTAGGTTAGGACATCATAATTATAACAGTGGATCTATCAACTATAGCAGGGCTGCAGAATACAACAGAACCTGTCCTCTGGTTCCTTTTATTTATAAAATAATAAAGAACAATGAATTAGAGATAGATTTCACAAACAGACCAACGTGTAGTAAAAAATTTAAGATGAACTATCAGAAGAAAAGGTATATAAAACATAAAAACATGTAAACAGTTTGAATGACGTAATTTAAACAGAGAAGGAGGTCTGGCTTGTAATTCCAGGCTGCATGATGCTAAAAGTTTTCATTCAGGTGTCCACCAATCCACACGCTTAACTCCAGCCCCTTACCTCTCCTCATTTAAGGACTTTTACATTTTTATTTAAATCTACTTGAGACATGATTACTAAAGTAAACAGACTTGGATGTTCAAGAGACTGACCTTTATAAACTTTAATATTACAAATATAAAATTTACAAATGCATACACAGGCAAAATAATTGTACTTGTAAGCTGTAATTCTGGGGAATGCTCTATAGGGTGTTTACCTTGCATACAAACAAGACATCTTTGGGAAACAAATCTGCATTCCCTTATTACAAAGAAAATAGTCATCAAATGAGAATATACGTATATTCTTCTTGATGGTAAAATTCCTGCAGGTCCTTTTACTATCAGTCAGAATTGGAAAAGTAATAATCTTTTTCTTCTTCATCTGATTCTATATCATCAATGAAAAACTTTGGAATATCAGTGTTTTCACCTAAATCTGTTAAGAAAAATTTAATGAAAAGGATTAATAAATTTCCATTTTAACAGAACTGAAAACAACTACAAGAAACTAAATGGTAGGTTTGTCTACTTGAGAACCAGCTAGATTTAATACCATCAAATAGAGATCATATTATAATGAAACTAGGCTACAAAATAAAGAAATACAATACCTTTGTTAAACAGGGCTTTTCGTGTTCGTATTGGAGATGAGAGATCAGTTTCAACCTATAAAAAAGTGCATGTTAGGACCTGAGCAGTCCCAGGGCACCAGCTCTGTACCCAATTCCAGAACACCCACAGGCAGCTGGACTCCCAGAAGCTCTAACACGCCTAGGATCTTAGGTGAGGAGGCAGCAGCATCACCCACCCCACAAACACTGAGTGACTGGGGCCCGAGGGGACCCAGGAATTCCCTGACGGCCAGTGGCTCCTTCTGATCTCTGCCTGTGCCCTGAGCAGTCCTAGGGCACCAGCTCTGCACCCAATTCTAGAACACCCACAGGCAGCTGGACTCCCAGGAGCGCTAACACACCCAGGTACATAGGTACATAGATAATAGGATTTCAGGAGCTTGGTGACACTAAGATTTCAGGATCCCAGAAGCAGCGTGAATCCTAAGAGCTTTTACTCCCAAGTTCTCAGGATCACAGAGAGAGCTGAACTCTGAGGAGTTCTGACACAACCAAGATAACAGGAAAGACAGGCTTCAGTTAGAGACAGTGAGTGCAGGTAGCACTAGAGATAACCAGATGGTGAAAGGCAAGCATAAGAATATGAGCAACAGAAACCAAGGTTACTCAGCATCATCAGAACCTAGTTCTCCCACCATAGCAAGTCCTGAATACCTCATGACACCGGAAAAGCAAGAGTCACTTCTCATGTTGATGATGGAGGACTTTAAGAAGGACATAACTCCCTCAACACAGGCAAACAGGTAAAAGCCCTTAAAAAGGAATACAAAATTCCCTTAAAGAATTATAAGAAAACACAACCAAACAGGTGAAGGAATTAAACAAATCCATCCAGGACATGAAAATGGATGTAGAAACAATAAAGAAATCACAAAAGGAGACTGCTCTGGAGATAGAAAACCTAGAAAAAAAATCAGTAGTCATAGATGCAAGCATCACCAACAGAATATAAGAGATAGAGAAGCTCAGGTGCAGAAGATACCATAGAAAATATTGACACAACTGTCAAAGAAAATGCAAAATGCAAAAAGTTCTTAACACAAAACATACAGGAAATCCAGGATGCAATGAGAAGACCAAACCTAAGGATAATAGATATAGAAGAGAGGAAAAATTCCCAACTTAAAGGGCCAGTAAATATCTTCAACAAAATTATAGAAGAAAACTTCCTTAACCTAAAGAAAGAGATGCCCATAAACATACAAGCCTAAAGAACTCCAAATAGATTGGACCAGAAAAGAAATTCCTCCTGTCACATAATAATCAAAACACCAAATGCACAAAACAAAGAAAGAATATTAAAAGCAGTAAGAGAAAAAGGTCAGTTAACATATAAAAGCAGACCTATCAGAATTACACCAGACTTCTCACCAGAGACTCTAAAAGCCAAAAGATCCTGGACAGATGTCATACAAACACTAAGAGGACACAAAAGCCAGCTCAGGCTACTATACCCAGTAAAACACTCAATTATCATGGATGGAAAAACCAAGATATTCCATGACAAAACCAAATTTTCACTATCTTTTTACAAATCCAGCCCTACAAAGGATAATAGATAGGAAACTATACCCTAGAAAAAGCAAGAAAGTAATCGTCTTTCAATAAACCCAAAAGAAGATAGCCATACAAACGTAATTCCACCTCTAAGGACAAAAGTAACAGGAAGCAACAATCAGCTTTCTTAATATCTCTTAACATCAATGAACTCAACTCCCCAATAAGAAGACATAGGCTAACAGACTGGATACATAAACAGGACCCAGGATTTTGCTGCATACAGGAAATGCACCTCAGTGACAAAGACAAACACTATGTCATAGTAAAAAGCTAGAAAAAATTTTTTCAAGCAAATGGTCCCAAGAAACAAGTGAAGTAGCCATTCTAATATCTAATAAAATCAACTTTCAACCAAAAGTTGTCAAGAAAGAAAAGGAAGGACACATCATACTTGTCAAAGGAAAAATCAACCAAGATGAACTCTCAATTCTGAGCATCTATGCTCCAAATACAAGGGCACCCACACTCATAAAAGAAACTTTACTAAAGCTCAAAGCACACATTGCACCTCACAAAATAATAGTGGGAGACTTCAACACTTCACTCCTAGCAATGGACAGATCATGGAAACAGAAACTAAACAGAGACACAGTGAAACTAAGAGAAGTTACGAACCAAATGGACTTAACAGATATCTATAGAACATTTCACCCCAAAACAAAAGAATATACCTTCTTCTCAGCACCTCATGGCTCCTTCTCCAAAAATAGACCATATAATTGGTGACAAAACAGGCCTCAACAGATAAGGCTGGTCTTCAATAATAACAAAAACAATGGAAAGCCCACATACATGTTGGAAACTGAACAATGCTCTACTGAATGATGACTTGGTCAAGGAAGAAATAAAGAAATTAAAGATTTTTTAGAATTTAGTGAAAATGAAGACATATAATACCAAAACTTGTGGGACACAATGAAAGCAGTGCTAAAAGGAAAATTCATACCTCTAAGTGCCTACAAAAAGAAACTGGAGAGAGCATACACTAACAACTTGACAGCACATCTGAAAGCTCCAGAAGAAAAAGAAGCAAATACAGCCAAGGGAATAGAAGGCAGGAAATAATCAAACTCAGGGCTGAAATCAACCAGTAGGAAAAACAAAACAAAACCAGAACTATACAAAGACCAGGAGCTAGTTCTTGAGAAAAATCAACAAGATATATAAACCCTTAGCCAAACTAACCAGAGGGCACAGACACAGTACCCAAATTAAAAAAATTAGAACTGAAAAGGGAGGCATAACATCAGAAACTGAAGAAATTCAAAAAAAATCATCAGATCCTACTAAAAAAGCCTATACTCAACAAAACTAAAAAAATCTGAATGAAATGGACAATTTTCTAGACAGGTACCAGGTACCAAAATTAAACCTAGATCAGATAAACCATGTAAATAATCCTATAATCCCTAAAGAAATAGCAGCAGTCATTAAAAGTCTCCCCACCAGAAAAAAGCCCAGGACCAGGTTTTAGTGCAGAATTCTATCAGACCTTCCAAGTAGACCTACTACCAATTCTCTATAAAATGTTCCACAAAATAGAAATAGAAGGAACAGTACCCAATTTGTTCTTTAATGCCGGTACTTGGGAGGCAGAGGCAGGCAGATCCTGAGTACTGTACAAACAGGGCTTACGTACTTACATCACTAATAGCTTCATATTAGAATTAGATTAGGTTGTAAGTTCCTGGAGGGCAGAGACGGTTATACAACTCATAATTACAACAACGGATCAAGCATTACAACTGTTCTACATATAATGTAGGAAAAATAATAAACACACTTACTGTTTTTTTCCTAATGTTGCCCCAGACAAGGCCACCTTTACTCTTGCTACATTTTTTAGCATTTTTTTGCATATGGTAAACATATTTATCACAATCATTCCTGTGTGAATATAAAATAATACCAAGATGTCAAATCAGCATTATCATAATTCTACCTATATGTTAAACAGCAATTAATAAAAGTCTAAAATTTTCTTAACTTTACTCAAAAGACTATTTTAGAAAACTGTTTTGTTAACTGGTCACTATCCTACTGTAGCTGTTTGAAGAAGAATGGCCTCCATATTTGGGTGGGTTTGAAAGCTTAGTCATCAGGGGTGGCATTACATGAGAAGGGCTAGGAGGTGTGGCCTTTCTGGAGGAAGTGTGTGTCTGAGGGTGGGCTCTGAGGTTTCTAAAGCCCAAGCCCAGCCCAGGGTCTTTCTCTTGCTGTTGCCTGCTGATCTAGATGTAGAATTCTAGCTACTTGTCCAGCACCATGTCTGCCTGCAAGCCACCATGCTCACACCGTGATAAGGAACTAATAAATATTTGAAACAGTAAGCAAGTCCCAATTACCTGCTTTCTCTTATAAGAGTTGTTGTAGTCATGGCGTCTCTTCACAGCAAAAGAGCAATACCTAAGATACCATCTAGGTTTATTCCTAAAACTGTTCCCTTCCTATCTTTACTACTTTTGTTGTTCAGTTCCATTAACCAAAACCAAGTATCACAGTTGATCTCTTTTAGATTATGCCTGGTATATTAAAACTATCAATTTATAGCTTCCAATTATATCAAGTTCCAATCTAACTTAGCAAGTATTTTCTTTCTATATAATTGTGTTTCTTGTTTGATTATATATTAAGATACATAACTTAATCACAAACATACAAATGCATAAACCAACCAGCTGCTAACACTTTGCTTAGTGAATGATAGCTCTACCCAGATTAGCAGCCTATAGGTCTACTTTCCAAGCGATTGTTTTGTATAGCAGAAGTTAAGTTTTCCACTTTATACCAGTTCTCAAATTGTCATAGAAAGTAACCCTGTATGTACACATGCACCTCCCTTTTCAGTTTTTGAGACAGACTCTTACTATGTAGTCCTGGCTGTCCCCAAACTCAACGATCTGTCTGTCCTGATTCCAAAGTCTTGGAATTAAATGCAGGCGCAGCAAACTACCTTCTAGTTTCTCTGAACACTGCACTACAAAAGTAGGATTCCTGGGTCAAAGTTCATGGCGATAGTAAGAGATGCCAACAAATTGCAGCTGCACAGATAATACTGATTTATAGTTTTTCGCTAACATGTTGTAAAAAAAAGGTTCCATTGTTAACTTGCAGTAATGCTAAATATACTACAGGGAACATTCTTTGGATTAAGTTATGTGATATTCCTTTTAAAAGGTTTACAGTATTAGTTTTAATTATGTGGGCATGTGGGAGTTGGGGTGGGATTATGCACATGAGTGCACTGCTCATGGAGGCCAGGAAAGGAAGTCAGATCTCCTGGAGCTGGAATGAATTTCTTGACTTGGGTGCTAGGATCCTAATTCAAGTTCTTTGTAAGTATACTTTACCACCAAGTCATTTCTCCAGACCCAGCAGAACAGTCTTTTCTCTGATGGTCTTAATACTGTAGACAGCGATTGGTGGCAGATAAAATATAATATTAAATCTTTTTATTAGGGATTCATGGGTTTGCATTTGAGTTAGAAAGGCTGTTACTAACAGTATAATTCTACAAAGGATCGCTAGGGGTATATATCATATGAGTTTAGTTAAAATTTTTAATATATATTTTTTAAATTTTTCAGTTAAAATTATTCCACTTCCAATATTATACATTGAGATAACTGATAACTTGCTGAAACCTAACCATGCTTAATTTTTAGGAACTATTTATTCTTCATTTTTTAAAATGATAACTTTCCATTGATACTTTTAAGTTTATCATTTCACAGAATGCTTTAATGTTCTTGAATATTAAATTAACTTGAATATAAAATTAACGTCACTTCACATTTACCTTTCTATAGAGGTTAGCATTCCAGGGCTGACATGGCTGCACTGCGGAGTGGTGCTTGTCAGTGTGGAAGGAACTGATGATGGAGACGCTGGGATCCTGTCCATACACAGCAGAATATCATCGTCTTGACTGTATTGAAAACTTGGCAACTAGAAAACAAATATTTTCATAAAGTTCTCAAATTTTTCTCATCACAAAGTAATTTTGTAGGTTAGGTTGTTTTCCTCTATAATTTTTTTCAAGTTTTGTAATTAAAACTAATAGAACACAGAATAGTCACTACAAAAACAATTTTATCTTCTACAAAATAAAGACAATCATACCTATTTCTAAAGGCTGTGGAGAACAGAGAGAGTCAAGTATTTTCTAAGCATGTTAAAAGCTTTTGGACTTTATGATCCATATAGTCCCAATTATTCAAGTCTGTTACTGCAATATAAAGACTGTAATACAAATACGAAAGCAAATGAATATGGTTATGTTCCACTAAAACTTTGTTTATAAAAAACAGGTGAAAGGGCCAGTCAATGAAGGTACTTGTGTGAAGATGGGTGACCTCAGTTTAATCCCTTGAACGTAAAGATTAAACTCACTGAGAAGTAGTAGAGATAGAACCTAGGGCCTGGTACATGTTATCACTAAGATACATCCTGTACTGGCTGGTTTTATGTGTCCACTTGACACAAGCTGGAGTTATTATAGAGATAGGAGCCTCCCTTGAGGAAATGCCTCCATGAGATCCAGCTGTAAGGCACTTTCTCAATTAGTGAACAAGGGTGGGAGGGATCATTGTGGGTGGTACCATCCCTGGGCTGGTAATCATGAGTTCTATAAGAAAGCAAGCTGAGCAAGCCAGGAGAAGCAAGCCAGTAAGTAACATCCATGACCTCTGCATCAGCTCCTGCTTCCTGACCTGCTTGAGTTCCAGTCCTGACTTCCTTTGGTGATGAACAGCAATGTGGAAGTGTAAGCTGAATAAATCCTTTCCTCCTCAACTTGCTTCTTGGTCCTGATGTTTTGTGCAGGAATAGAAACCCTAAGACACGTCCCTAGCTTTATGTGTTGGCTTTAGATCTGCAATTTTGCTTAATTTCTTCAGTTTTGAGGATTCTTGCCACATATAAAAATCAGCACTCATCCATCTAGTATTATGTCAGTTCTCTATGAAAATGATGTAGACTAATAATATTTGTTGCAGGATATGCGGTCACACAGTGAACCCTGATATTGTGTTGTTTACTGGAAGAGCCCGTGAAATGGAAAAGTTGTGGTGTGGCTCAGCCCCAGCACACACCTTTAATCCACAGTCTTTCTGCTTATTGTAAACAGGATTAAATAAAGCCAACCATAGATCAAGAGGCAAAGCAAACAATCAGTTACAGGGAGTGAACAGAGGGAATGCGAGGAAGCCAGGAGGACTGACGGGGAGATGCACGGGAAGGAGAAGGGAGAGACATTCAATCTGAGGGGTTTTTGAAAAGGCAAAAAGAAGGAGAAGTGATTGTTTTCCTCTTGGGAGATGGGCAGAAGAAGAAGGTCAGCTGGGTGCTTTCTCTGTCTCTCTGAGCTACTGAGTCTTTATTAGTAAAATTGAACATTTGAGATTTTGTTAAAAACAACATTTATGAAACAGATCCCAAAGCACCAAAATAAAAAAAAATAACTTGTTATATGGGAAACTTAAGCTATCACAGCTGAGCCATCCATCTCCTGTAGGACACTGAGACACTGTCTCAGTGCTGCAGCGACAGGCACTGCTGGTGGTTTCGTGAGGATGACATCTGAGCACAAGGGATGGAAGCACAGAGGCCTCTGTCCCCTAGAGCTGTACGCATTCCAACTCTGGTCTAGGCTTTCGAACTGCACCTGTCTACCAGTTGCTTTGCTTATTTTTGTAAAAGAAAAGTGATGTCATGTATCTCGTAATGTCCTTGGTCCACTTCATTTTTTTCAGGTTACTGTTGGGAGCCGACTCCTAGCAGAAAGCGGCTATCATCTTTGCAGCCATCTCGAGCCATATACCCTGACAAGAGACTTGTTTTCAACAGCCTGCAACAGCTGAGCACACTCTGATAAACATCTTGTTTTTCTCACATATCTTGTTTTGCTGCTTAGTGCCCCCAGCTGCAAGGCGCACCACACTGCAAGACAAGTGGCAAAGAGCCTTCAGCTGTGTTCCCTTGCTTGTCCACGAGGGCAAGGCACGTGGTAAAGGGTATAAATACCCAGGATTTCCTTTCCATAAAGAGAAGAGACTTGATCAGACTCTGTCTTGTCTCCATTCTTCGGGTCTCTTGCCCCTCCATCCCCACTCTCTCTCTTGCTAGACCCTAACCTGCGCACCGGAGCAGCAGCTCGGGCCGGTACAGAGTGGCCCCCAAACGTGCAGCAGAACGGTCGGGACAGGTTATAACAGTATTCTCTTTGAAACACTCAAGAGCTGACTAGAAACTGATATGAATGGCATATTATCAGCAGATCTCTTCAGACTTTTTGTTCATGTCGGTAAAGACTACAGATCCTGGACTGCAGATGTACACTAACAACAGATGAAAATTCAGATTTCGTGCATTCAGCAGTCTTACCCGTATTCTTTGTTTCTGCAAGGGTGTTGCAGTGAAAAAATCATCGTGGTTGTCTTTTGGCAAGTGTTCGAGACATTCCCTCACTTGTCGTTTCCTTTTAAGAGTCCCCACTCCGGCGGTTATCGTAATCGTTCTCTTGTCAGTGCTGTCTTCCTCACCTAGAAACCAATACAACGTTTTGATATGGTCATTGATGTTACCTGCTTTATAAAACTAAAAGCCTCTCTTAAGTTTCCTACAGAACAAATAATTTTTAAATACATTTTTAAAAATTTATTTCATGTTATGTGTATGTGTGTGTTGCCTACATAAACTTATGTGTGGCACATCCCTACTTAGTGCTGCTGAAGGTCAGAAGAGAGTACTGGATCTTCTGGAACTGGCACTGTGGATGGTGTGAGCCACCATGTGAGCTGCTGGGAACAAAACCTGGATTCTCTGAAAAAGTAACAAGTGCTCTTAATCACTCCAGTTCCGCTCTCACTCTTTCAAAATGTGTTTTGTCCTAGGAATGACTTAATTCCCATGCATTTCCTTATACAGACCAAGGTGGCCAGCAAGATGACTCAGCAGGTAGAGGTACCCTTCTCCAAGCCTGACCACCTGAGTTCAATAGCTAAAACCTGCATGGTGGAAGAGAACCAACCCCCAAATATGTCCTCTGACCTCCATTTTTATGCCTTGCCGTGCGCGCGCGCACACACACACACACACCAACAAGCACACAAGCATACACATACACGAATAAATGCTAATAAAATTTTAAATTAAAAAAAAAAGACCAAAGTTAAGAGGAAACCTCCCATCTAAAACTTTTATTCCTGAGGCCAAAACCCCCAACAGAACTTACTAGGCACAGCCCAGACAAAAAATGTGGTGACTTTATGAACACGGTACCTTGACATAGGCCTGTTGTCTCTTGAGCTCAGTCTGAACAAGGAAGTGAGACCTTTACCCCTCAAACAAATAAGTAAATGCCAGAAGGTGCTCTGAGCCTGGTAGCATATATATCACAGATCACTCTTCCTACACTGGAGTGGATGGTGTATTAGCTCATGTGACACTCCTCGAGCATACACAAAGAGGCTAAAAACTAGACACCAGGAGCCAGAGTGGTCTACATAGTGAGTTCCACTTAGTGCTGCCAGAACATAGGAAGGACATCGTAGACCTACAACCAAACATTAAGTGGAGCTTGGGGAATCCTGTGGAAGAAAAGGAGGAAGGATTTAAGAGGCCAGATGGGGCAAGGATGCAAAAAAAAAAAAAAAAAAAAAAAAACCCAACTGAATCAACTAAACTGGGCCCATAGGGTTCAGAGACTATACACGGGAAGAACTTAGGCTCTCTGAACATACATAACAGTTGTGCAACTGGGTCTTCATGGAAGACTCCTAAAGCAGGAGCAGGGGCTGTCTCTGACTACACTGCCTGCCCTTGGATCCATATCCCCTAACTGGGTTGCCTTGTTTAGCCTCAATAAAAGACGTACTTAGTCTTACTGAAACTTAGTATGCCGAGGCTGGTTGATATCTATGGGAGGCCTCTCTTTTCTGAGGAGAAGGGGAGGAGAGGTGGGAAGGGTAGAAGGGAAGGTGAGAGGGAAGGACTAGGACATGAGGAGGGGGAGGAAACTCTGATTGGGATGTAAAGTGAATAAACAATAGAAAAGAAAAGAAAGAAAAGAAAAGAAACCTCTCCCTCTCCAAACAGAACTTCTTAATGGGACTGGAGAATATAGCCAAGCCATATAGTACTTGTCTAGCATGTACAGGGCTCTGAGTTCAATTAAAAAATAAAGAAAACCAATAAATCAACTGTGAGATCCACTTAATTTATTAATTGTTATTATGCCATGGGCACTAGGTACTCTCTATGCTTACTCTAGAACTTCCCTGACAAAGAGTGCTTGTTCCTAGCAGCCATGGATAACAGTCAATCTCAGGTTAAGGCTTAAAATATCTTTTGTGTTGTTGATTTTAAAATTTGAAAGAAACAATTGATACAGATTCATGAATAAATAACTATAACATGTAACTGGTAAACAGTTATGAGTAAAAACTAAGCCAGTGGTTCTCAACACGTGTGTCACAGCCCCTTGGGTGCCAAACAACGATTTCAGAAGAGTCACATATCCTGAATATCAGACATTTACATTACAATTCAAAACAGTATCGAAATTACAGTTATGAAGTATCAACAAAGGATAATTATATGGCTGGGGTCACGACACAGGAGGAACCTTATTAAAGAGTCCCAGCATTAGGAAGGTTGAGAACTACTGCACTAAACACTCTGAGAAAACAATAATAAGATTTACCATTTTGGACCTTGAAGTTGGCTTGCTTTTTCTTAGAGACATGTTTTTGGGATCCTCTGCCTTTGGGTTCTTCTGTGTATTTCTTCTGGCACTCATCAGCAGTTCGAGAACCTACTGCCATAGCAACATCTGACCAAAAGCCAGGTTTGTGCTTTGGAAGAGATGTAAAAGCACTGCAGCAGACCAAAACCAGGTAAGGACAAGAAATTCAAATCAATAAAAATAATCTGAGTCATACTGAGTCAGTCATATTTTCAAAGCTGGATTTTTTTAAACTAAAATCATTCTAGGTAACTATTCAGAAAAGATACTAATCTCTCTCCATTCCATAATTTTATTATTACAATATAATAAACTGTGAAGATATAACAGTGTATGTCTAGTAAAATGCCTTCAAACTATTTCTATTAAATGTGATAATTTTTCTAATCTGTCAACATTTTTCCCCAATCCAGTTAGTCAATGATTTCATTTCTGAGGGGATTCTGGCGTATATTAACTTCTATATATTGTCTATCAAGTATTACTAGTGCTAACTCTACAAGGAGATAAACTCCTAGTTCTTCCTAGTTTTATGATTAGGTGTGAGTGCGCATGATCAATGCATGACAGGTGCATAAACCTCCTGTGACAGTGGATCACAGAATATAAGGTACATTAAAAAGACTTTATGAAATCATCTTCTAGAGATTGGTATGGTTTAATAAATTATCACAGAGAAACCCTCTAATACATATAATTAATGTTTTAAGACTACTTATAATAAAAATGAACCTGGGCATGGTGACATACAACTGTGATCCCTGAACTAGAGAAAGCTGATAAAATTTAAGGATAGCAATACTAGGTCTCAAAAACTAACAAAAGTATAAATACAAGATGGTTCCAATTCAACTTATAAACGAAACTCTAAGGTTCCCTTGCATGTCACTGTTCTTCAGCCTACCATACTATTTCCACCTCCCCATACCCTCATCATGACTTGTTATGTTGTGGTTAAGGTGACAGTTCAGCCAGATAACTAATTCAGTAATTACCCTAAAATGGCACACGGTGAGTACTTCTTACCTCATATACTTAAGACAAGTGTTCCCGGACCCAGTCAGAACATGAAATTAATTCATATTTCATATATATTTTCATACATAGAGACCAAAAGTAATTACAGAGGTTTGTTTCTTTGATAGCTTGGAAGCATGCTACTATTAAACCATACCAATCTCTAGAAGATGATTTCATAAAGTCTTTTTAATGTACCTTATATTCTGTGATCCACTGTCACAGGAGGTGAAGTATGGATTTTCCACTGGTGTTACTTGTTAGGACAAAGAGTTTTAGATTTTGTCTTTCAGATTAGGGATAATTAACTAGTATGGCAACATTACTTCAACTTTATCAAGTTCTCTAGTACTGTATAAAATTACTGGCAAATCTATAACTGTCTAAAAGAACAATTTTTTCATTAAAAATAATTCTTAATGCATTTAATAAAAGTCATCACTATCTTCCAAGTTATTCCAGATAAATAATGAGGCAAATTTAACATATAATCACAGCCATTAAAACTCTTACTTATGGTGATATTCTGATTGGCATTAGTCCATCACCCATGTGCTCTTTCCTCAACCTTCAGTATTCTATTCACTCCAGCCTCCTTTCAGGGTTTCTCAGGATACCCTCTCCCTTCCTATATGAAACACACTTACATGCTTTGGCTACTTTTGATTTCTTTCACCTCTTAGTTCCCATATCATCTAAGGCAGGTCAGACTGTGCTTATAGTCTCATAGGCACAGATTCTTATAAACTTGTTACAGTGATTACTGGATGTGCTAGACACCTGCCTTCTCGGGTGTAAACACAATAAAAAATACAAAGCTATTGAAGATTTCAATTCACTAAGTAAAGACTGGGCAGCAATATGCATTTTTCAGATGCTCATCAATGGATTATATCACTCGCAAGGATTAGCATGGGGTTTTGTTCACAAAAAACCAGACATCACATGTAATGAAGTCAGAACAGGTGATAAGAAACAGTTGCAGTGAAGTGATAGATAAAAATGGTCTTCACCTGGGTTTTAGGTCTGTCTAAACCCTAAGAGGTGCTGTGGTAATAGCCTTGTGGGATCACAAGTAGACTCGATTAGCAAGAAAGAAGAAAAGCAAGGGAATTAGATCGGACAAACTTCTGTTTGTCTGAAGGCCCATTTCCTGATTGCTTTTAGCAATCTAGGATAGGTGAGGCTATAAAAAGGGGGAAAAAAACCATGGACATTTACTCCAGGTTTGGTGATATGTAACATCCCAGATTTTTCAGCTGTAGAAGGAAGGAAGAGGGAAGGAGGGAGGAAGGGGCTTTGTATGCTGGTACAAATCTGTAATCCAAGCACTTGGGAGACTCAGATCAAGAATAGTAGGCCAGCTTTGTCTGTTTCAGGATACTCAAGTCTACACAGAGAAATCCTGTCTCAAGCAAGCAAATAAATAAATATTTTTAAAAAAAAAAATATAAAGTAAGATTAAAAAGTTTGTATTATAAGGAAATGCTGAGAGATAAAGCTAGAAAAGGTAAAACTGTTAGCATGATCTGCCTTTGACCTAAAGCAGAAGAATATAAAATATGACGCTATATTAAATGCAGTGAAAATTTCTGATAGTTCAGAATCTCAGTTACGCTCTCCCCCTCTCCCCCACACCCCTACCCTGCTCTCTCAAGACAGAATTTCTATGTGTAACAGACCTGGCTGTCCTGGGACTCACTTTGTAAACCAGTCTGGCCTCGAATTCAGAGATCCACCTGCCTCTGCTTCCCAATTGCCAGGATTAAGGTGTGCACTGCCACCAACTGGGTCTCAGTGACATTCTCAAGCCTAATATGAAGCTATTTGAGCTAGATTACCCAGATGGAAAGTACATATGACAAGCACAAAGCTATTTCTACAATTCAGGCGTTAAACAGGTGAGGTCTGAAATGAAGGGACAGTAAGAAAACAGGCTGCACACGGATGGTCCTATGGAACAGCTATTTATCAACTAAGATTTTTTTTTAACCAATAATGGCCAAGTTTAAATCTATTTGATGGAAAAAACTTCATCTTCAGAAATAAAAACTTACCACCTAGATCTCCCCACGCACAGATTCTAAACACTGGATCAGAGGCGATAGACCTGCTGCCTGTATGTGGGATATGTTCCACTAGCTGGGCTGCCTTGTCGCCTCAGTGGGAAAGAAACCACCTTGTGCTGGGGGGACAGGGGGACCCACACTGTCCTCACCAGCTTAGAAGAAAAGGGAAGGCGGGGGAAGGACTATGGGAGGCGGTGACCTGGAGAGGGGCAGTGAGCAGGATGTAGAGTGAATTAGTTTAAAAAAATTAATTTAAAAAATTACCAAGGGCATGAAAAATGATTATCAATAAAAATATTCCTTTCAATCTTTAGTAGTCATATCTTTAGGCAAGATTTATATAGTTACATTCACTAAATGTAAATACAAATCTAAGTATAACAATTCAGGGCCATAGATGAATCTGAGGATCATTGTACAAAGAAGAAAGTCAGCATTGTAGAGGATAAAAGATCACTAAGGAACGTACCACAGCAAGAAAGCAGACAAAGGTAAGAATTTGAGGATGTAAAAAAAAATTATTTGCCTCAAAAATATTGAAAAAAGGATCATATAGGGAATTGAAAATATCAGTGAAGGTTGTACAGTGTCACAGAAATGTCTCAGAAAGAACTTTCAACAAGATTTGAGATGTATTCCAAAGCTAAGCACTTTTAAGGACATACAGTGAACAGAACACTAAATGCAGCATGTTCCTTTCTCAGCCTCTCCTTTATCAGTTACATCTTCCTTTCTTCTGAGTACAGCACTTCACCAGCTACCACTCTACCCTACATCAACTTCTGACAAAAAAGCAACCAAGTTATCTCCCCTTGTCTCCACACTCGCTTATACTTATCTCACATGGATATCTAGTCCTCACCTTTGCCAATGTGCTTGATTTGTCTACATAGGTTGTCATATCTCTTTAATTTTCCTATGTAGGCTTCATAAGTCAATTATGATCTGGTTTCCATGCTATCACACGACTGTTAGTCTCTATAGTTATATTCAATTTTTTTTAATAAAATCTTTTTATGTGTATGAGTGTTTTGCCTACACCTATATCTGTGCAGAGGTCTGAAAGGCATAAAATCCGCTGGAATTGGACTTACAGATTGTAAATCACTATGTGAGTGCTGGAAATCAATTTCAGGTCCTGTGGAAGAGCTGCCAGTGAGTGCTCTTAATTGCTGAGCCATCTTTCCAGCCAAACTCAACTTCAGTTCTTAAAGAATGTGATTTATCACCAGTTACAAGCAGAATAATTACTCACATCTTCTGAAAAGCTTGCTAACATCACTAGTATATCTTTAAGTCAGGTCATTTCTGCTGTTTTGTAACCATTCTGCAGATATTCCAGAGACAAAACTACTTACCGATGAAGCTTCTGTAACTCTTGCTGGTTCCATTCTCCATCATCAGTTAAGCCAGGTAGACTGTCTACCAGTTGCCTGTTAGTTGTATCAGATGCCTTAACTTCAATTAGAAAGTTCTTGCTAACATCAGATTTGTAATGTGATTCTTTAGCAGAAGATCTAAGTCTCTTTGGTGTGATGGAACAATCACTCTCACCTTTAGCTTCTGAAATGAGGAGGATATCTTTTGTGATGTTGCTTCTGGTTTTTCTCTCCTGATTCAGTCTTTCTTTTGTATTTCTTGCTCTGGTTTTACTTTTAATTTCTGGTTTTACTTCATTCTCTTCACTTGACAAATGTGACGAGGACTGGCTATACAGTGATACATCTATTTGTTTTTCAGTTTTCTGCAGTTTTGAGGACAACTTGTTCTTTTTCTTAGAATCATTGGTGAGTATTTGTTTACTTTTCGAGCAAGGTATCTGAATATGTTTGACAGTGATTATGTCACATTCGTTGCAGTCCTCCTTGGCACTGCCTTCATAACCCACGCTATGTTCAAAGGTCTCTAAGGACTTACAGGTAGGACTCGGAGTTTCTTGTACAACTGACTCACTTTCTTCTTGATGCTTTGCTTTGAAAAAATCTATTCCTCCTTCGAAAGAGAGACTGTGCTCCACACATCTTTGCTCTATCAACTTTGTGGTTCTAAGTGGTGTTATTAAAACGTAAGCTTCCTTCTGAGTGAGAGTCTGGTGTCTTCTTTCTTTGTCAGGGGTAGACTGTTCCAGTGAGTTCAAGGGATCAATGGGTACATTTAATACCTCAGTTCTCTCTTTATTTCATTGGAAATCAGAAACAAAATGTCATAAGTATAGGAGAAAATACTCTTACAAAAGAAGACAATTTTTCCTGACAGGTTGGTTACACAAAGCACTGGTCTAGTTAGATCACTGTCACTTCAAATGTAAACATGTATACAATTCTGCCAATGACTTTCTAGTTGGCTGGCATACATGTAGCTTTTCTATCTGGCCTTCAATATAGTTTTAGTCTGTTATTGACCCCAAATTGGAACCATACTCTATGGGTATTAGACCTCATATTTCTCAAAATTGCTTGGGCCTGAACTTTCACTGTTTACTCTCCCTTAAAATTTTCCTTTACTTATCTGCAAGACCCTAAACTGCTTGCTCAGAGCTCATTCTCCAGCCCACTGTATCTCCAAACTCTCCTATTCTCCCATTAAGTTCCCACAATATTTTTTCTAAAATGCCATTTGGTGTCATACATTTTAGTTATACACCAGTATTATCTTTTAGTTAGACTAAGAAAATCATTAATGTCAGAACTTAATTTTCATAAACTTTCTTTGTTCTGATGTTAGTGTAGACACTCAAGAATTAGTAGATATTAAACAAATGTTTTAACAATCAATTCTCAAGACATAAAATAGTTAGAAGACATAAGAAATCCACTAGGGTCATTAACCATAGCAGCCATGTTGTCTAGTTAGGGATGTCATTAGGAAACTGTGACACTCTGTCCACACAGCTCTACTCTGATCCTCAATGTAGCCAAAGCAGCACATCTTTGAAATCTCTCCAATTTCCAAGAATTACCATGGGAAATAACTAAAGCTACAGAACTTGATATCTATTCAATCATCTTACACATAGGTGAAGAAAGCAAATGAGATCAGCATGTCTGATCGAAAATGGAGAATCCAGAAGCAAGTCCACCTGAAACTCTAACTGTCTTAACTCCTATTTATGTTCATTGTTGTGCTGTGAACCCTTGGGCCCAAGTTAGTGGGACTGTTCAGGAAGGACTAGGAAGCTGACCGTACAGTATGTAGGAGGCTATGTCCCTGAGGAGAAGGCTTGGAGGTTTTAAAACCCATGCCATCACCAGTTAGCTCTCTGTCTCACGCTTTTGGGTCACACGTGAGCCATCAGCTATTGCTCCTGCACCATCCCTACCTACTATCACGGTAGCCACAGATTATAAGAAAGCCCCCAGGGACATGCTGCCTTCACCATGGTGTTTCTTCACTGAAATAGAACAGTAACTAAGACATTTATGAATTGCAAGTCACTACACCATCAGGATAAAATACTGCAGTTATGTACACATATCATGCCATAAAAGATAAACCCAAAATGGAAAGGTTAACAGTTAATAATGATGGGAAAACTTCAAAATTATAATGTATCAGTAATTTATTTGATTAGTACAACTATCCTAATGAAAAGAGACCCAAAAAAAAGTCTCCACAATATTTTTCACAGAAATCATACATTTACAAAATATTTCTTGTAATTCCTTACATAAATCAAATTTTAAAAATTTTAAAAATTTGAACATTCTCATTTTGAACAAAATATTTCTAATGAGAATGGTTTTTGTCATTCTACTTTATTTAATAATCTTAATAACCATCCAGCCTTCTTTAGGTACTTTAAATCACAGAAGTACTGAATTCTTCCCACTTTTTTTGATGACTGTTCTCATTTTTATTTTTCAGTTTTAGTAAAAAATACCACTAGGCCCATGGATTTATCATGACATGAAATCTTGAACTTGTTAATATTTAGACAAAAAATACTTTAATTTTGGTACACAAGACTTTAATTACTCTGAAATTCAACACTTATCAAACCTTAATTATGGCATTAATTTCATAAAAGGAAACATTCATATGAGCACATATGAAGTAATATAAAACTTTGTGAAACAAAGTTATTAGGGATCACATTAAAGCCAAACCTGTAAATAGTATTATACTTAAAGTAACAGGTTATTTCATTAAATAACCATTCTATGTATAAATAACTACTTTAAATCATAAACATATTTTTCATTGTATATCCAGAAACTTAAAAAGTACATTATAGTAAAAAATATTTTAAGCAGTTATTTTCCTAGTCATTACATAATCACTGAAGATATTACCTGGTTTCTGACTTTGAATTTTCGTTTCATTGATCTCTTCGCAATTTTCAAAGCTTTCTGAAGAAAATTTTCTGCAATTTTTCTTTCCAGTTAATTCCTTCAAAACAAACACTATATTTTTAACAACTACAATCTAGACGTTATCTTGGGCAATTACATAGCATTAATCAAGTATAAAAAAATGTCTATGTACTTACTACTCTGCGAATTCCACTGACGGAACATTCAGAAATTCCTATTAGAATGCAACTTTACAAGTACTACATACTGCTGCATGATCCTACAAAAGTCTTTGATTATTTGCAGGTTTACTTTTTAAAAAGTATTTAGTTTTTAAACTATGTGTAACCTATGTACCTGAGTCCATGCCATGTGTCTAAGAGTGTACAATAGAGGCCCTCTGAAGCTGGAGTTAGACAACTGTGAGCTAACTACAGGTTCTGGAAACTCAACTATGGTCCTCTGGAAAACCAAAAAGCACTCTCAGTCACTAAGCCATCTCTCCAGCCCATATCTGTAGTTTTTCAAGTATTTTTATATGCTTTATTTAAGGCTTTACTCTACATAGCTTTACTCTAGTTTTATTATTATTGCCTGTATATTTTTATTAAAAAATGGAAAATAAGTACCATTTATTTATAGTTGCAACAGAATAAAAATCTCTATGGGCTGGAGAGGTGAGTGCATGCACAGACGGCTCAGCAAGAAAAGATCCTCAGAACTCACATGATGAAAGATAACAACTGACTGTGTAAGTCTAGCTCTGCCTGCCACATGTTTCAGGTAACATATACATGTCCCCTCGCCAAATAAATAAATAAATAAAAATATGTAAATTTTAAAACAAAGAAGCAATAAACATACCTATGGGAATTAAAGTTAAATTTAATAGATTATTTTCCCAAAATGCAGTTAAGAGGCTCTCAAAAGAAAAAGACACAAAAATGTCCCTCCTGTCTAGAGATGTGTGGCTCTTTGACTGCAGGCAGCTCTAACAAATACTTACATCTCATCTAGTCATTTAAGAGGCATAAAAATTATTGAAATTTTATCCTATAGACATTTATGCAAATTACATACCTTAAATTTCAGGAATACTGTGCATCTCTCACACACAGCAAATACTCTAACAGCAGAAGTGCATGCTCATCCCTATATTTTTTATTCTTTATCATTTATTAAACATATAATCCCTATTACAAATACATATTTAACTTCAACAACACTTTCAACAATTCTAAATCATACTCACCAAAAAGAATTTGCATCCTTTGATGCAGTCCTGAAACTTTTCGGGTACCACATTTCATTCCTAAACATCAGTACATTATCCAACTAACACACCTGAATAGTGTGGTGGATTAAATATACTTGGCCCATGGTAAGTGTCACTATCAAAAGGTGTGGCCTTATTGGACAAAGTGTGTCCTGTAGGGGTGGGCTTTGAGGTCTTAATGTTCAAGCTGTGCTCAGTTCAGAAGGAGCCTCCTCCTGGCTGGCTGCAGAAGACAGCATCCTGGCTACCTTTGTATCAAGATGTAAAACTTTTGGCTCCCCCATCACCAAGTCTGCTACCACCATGTCATACTTCCCACCATGATTATTATGGATTGAACCTCTGAAACTGTAAGCCAGCTTCAATTAAATGTTTTCATTTATAATAGTTGCCTTGGTCGTGGTGTCTCTTTTCAGCAATAAAAGCCTAACTAAGGCAGAGAAGTTGGTCTAGTTTATGCAAAAGATGTGGCAAAGGCCAACATTGGACTAATAAATGTATAATAGGCAAATGAGGTAACCCCTTATCAAAAAATGCCCGGGGGGCCTCTCATAGGCCACAATGCCACACATCACAAACATAAAACAATTAAACGAGGTTAGAACAACTCCTTTAAGTAGAAAAAAAATAAACCCACTAGGGACCAAAAAATAAATATTTTCACAAACTTCAATAAATAATCAGAGGCCCAAAGTAAAGTTATTTGTAAGTAATATTTAAATTTAAGGAATAGTAGACAATGAAGCTAATGTAACTATAGTCTCTCCAAAATCCTGGCCCCCAAACTGGCTTCTTCAAAAGATAGATATTCAATTTTAAAAGGTTGGAACTTTTTATCCTCGGTAAATCAAAGTATCAGATGGCTTGATTGTATATAAGCCTTAGAAGGTCAAATAAGAAAATTAAGGCCATATGTGGCTAATACAGCCATAAACTTATGGGTAAGAGATCTTTTATAGCAATGAAAAACACAGATTAACATCACTCCAACTTCAAGAACAAAGCACTAGATGGGTGAGGCTTCTGATAAAATTAAAAAATGTAATCAAAGACAGTTCCAGACAATATAGGCTGTTCATTAAGACAATACAACACAGGCTGACTCTTCTTTAGTTGGGGGAGCCTGATAAAAACAACCAACAGCCTAACCACTAAGGTGGTTAACTGACTAACCTGTTTAGATTGAGGAGAGGTCTATGATAAAGAAAAAATTACAGGAACTCAAAGAGCTGGTCTAAGAGCAGTTGGAGGTTCAACTTTGGAATTCTCCTATATTTGTCATTAAAAAGAAATTTGGCAAATAGAAGATGTTGACAGATCTGAGAGCAATTAAAAAAAGTATTCAGCCAATGGGTTCCTTACAGCCTGGGATCTCATTAGCTTCTTTGTTACCTATAGAAAGGCCATAGTAATTGATTTAAAACTTGGCTCTTTCACAATTACTTTATAAGAACAAGATAAAGATTTGCTTTCACAATGACCACATTTAGCTGTTCAATGTCAAAAAAAAAGTACACCAATGCCAAACAAAGGTACAAAATGAAAACAAAAATTTAAAAACAAAAAACAAAAAACAAAAACAAGAGTCTTGCCACAGAAATGTT